GGGGGGGGGGGGGGGGGGGGGGCTTCCGCTAAAAAATTGGCGCTCGTCTCGCCCGTGATTAGCGAACGTATGAGTGCCGAAAGGAATTATATTCACACGAATAAAATCCCGAATAACTAATCACAAATCTTTGGATTTTGGATTTTACCTTAGTTTTTCCCGATCACTTGGTTGTAGATTTTCGTTAGCGATAGCTATTTCAATCACAGATTATCCTCAGGCCACAATGTAAGCACTATTAAGTCACATGATAGATACCGGTAAACTTATTAAAAACTTATTAAAAAACGTATTAAAAACATTCGTGGGTGCACCCGCCNTTATTCTTGTATTCTTAAGTGATAAGAATGACGCGATCGCGGCGGGTGCACCCACGAATGTTTTTTAATATGTTTTTAATAAGTTTTAATATGTTTTTAATAAGTTAACCAGTGTCTACAGTGTGACTTAATAGTGTTTACCATGTCTGAGGATGATCTGATGATCGAAAGAGCTATCGCTATCTAAAATCGACAACCAAGTGATCGGGAAAAACAAAGGTAAAAAAATCCAAAATGCATCCCGATAAAAAGAGCTTTAACTTCAAAATAATTACAAATCCCTTAAAACAGTTATTTCGACTACGTTTTGCACATAGATAGTACTGTTTCAATACTGCTCATTTTAGAAACAACGCAAGTGCCACTAGTTCTATAGGCAGGTAGGTGTTCTTCCAGATTAGTGGAGATACGATGTTCTTGCCGAGCGCGTCAGAGGGACGGAGAGTCCCAGCTCGAATCGAACGCGCGACTATTTATAGACTCGCGCGCGGTTGGGCGCGCTGCGCCTCGACGAACGATGTGGGCCGCCGCGACGCGGCAACACCGACCTTTACCACTTGAATGTATGCAAAACAATCGATGTGTATCGAAGCGGGGCGAATCGATATTTACATTGGATTTAAATTCAGAGGGAACACTGTTGTCAAGTCGCGAGAATCGAGCTCCGAAGCTCGGGACGCGGGCGGGCGAGGGCGGACGTTTTCAGCGCGGGTAGTACGACTAGGTCATCTGGATCGGCGTCACGTGACCGGTGAGTTGGAACTCACGCCATGTTGCCGGATCGGGCATTCTTCCCGATATGTATATATAACCATGCGAAATATGTGGATTTTAGTGCATGATCCGGCGACGTTGAAAGTTGGGCGCGAGGTGTGGGGGTGTCATCATCTGTTCGATGCGCTGTTGCCGACTTGCGCGGGATTCCCGGATTTCTCGTTGGAGTGAATCGAGGCTTTTTCCCGGTGTATCCGTGGCGTGTTGCGACTTGCGATGAATCGATTGATCTACCGTTCATACGTATGGAAAACGATCTTGTCAGGGTATACCTTGATTTTCGACTTATTATAACGCAACCTTCAAACCGGGAAATATCGGTAGAAATTATTCCCATCTCGCCACTGCGGTGTACTTTGGTGGTTGTAAGTCATGTAGCACTGCTATCCTGCCGTGCTATGGAAAAACGCCGTATGAGCCTTTAAGCGTTGCCAAATCTCCGTTGGTTAATCACGAATTTTCGGGAAAATTTTTAAATATTTTTCTACCAATTTTTCAGGTAATTTTCTTCGCAATTTCACCTAAAGTTGTCGCAAATTTTTCCGAAAAATATTCATAACTTTCCTAAAAAAGAAACGTTTTATCGAAGGAAATTTGGCAACTCTCGAATGTACATACAGTGTTCTTCCTCAGCACGGCAGTATAATTGGACTGCATTTTGCAATTTGGACCTATAAATTCAGGCCCGGTTTAAAAACAATGTATGTGCCATTAGTTTCCCTATACACATAAGTGTTTTTCCAGAAGAGCCAGAATTTATAGTTCCAAATTGCAAAATGCAGTATAATTCGTCGTTTCCTGGACTGGGGAACGTAACTCCCTCCTAAAGTTGCCAAATTGATTCAAACAATTTAATGTTTTACAAAAATACTCCTGTGAAATATTTCTCCAAAATTTTTTTGTTTCTTGCATGAGATGAGAAGATAAATCAGGGATATTTTTTGTTAGAAATGCCAAGATTCTCCAGTGCAAATTTATGACGGGAAATTCGGCAACACTGAAATGTAACTACTTTCTTCCGTGCTGGAAACGACGAATTATTGTGAAAATTCATTTGCATCTTGTGATACATCAATAACATTCGTATTTTTATCGAAAAAATTGTTCTTAATAGCAGGCAGTAATGCATAGTATTGATATTCGGAAGAAATGAAATGTAATTCAG